GGGGGTGCCTGAGTTTCGTCTTGCCTAAGGCAGCCCCAAACCAAAATACATCGCTGTGTAGACATTATGTGGTATTTGGATTGGATCACACATGCACATTCTAACAAGCAATTTATATAATAGATTTGGGCACAGAGCTACATCCCAGATAGCAAGGATAACTTGCCACAAACTTGTGGCAGGGTGAAATTGTAATTTGTGTTAACTTGCTGCACACATTCCTGGCAAGTTGTGGACTTGCAGAACACTTGCAGCACAAGTTCTAGTTGACACTTTTTGAATTTGTAGCAAATGTGCTTGGCAAGTCTACAGCAAGAGTCCTGCAGGTCTTAGCAAGAGCTGTGCAAGTGTACAGCAGTTTTGCAAAGCACGTTGATCTTGAGACTTGAAATGCCGACTTGCTGTAATTGTGCAACAAAATTGTGAAGTTTGGCAAGTCTACAATAGTTTAGCAGGTAATTTTCAAACTTGCAGCTCAATTGCTTGCTATCTGGGATGCTGATATCACATATAAGCCCATTCATGTATAGGCATATAATAAGATGTCAAAAGTGCTTGTAGACATCCTGTTTGCTGCTTGATTCTGCAAAACAGAAATGATATAATGTCTATGGGTATCGGATATCTTTAGATTCAGCAATTTAATTAACTAATAACCAACTGGTTTAGTCTTATATCCTACTGTTCCTCTCCAGATATGGCTACATGTATGGCCAAACCTAAGTTTGTTTTGGTTCTCGCTGTTGGAGGGCATATATTGAAATCTATATAATATACTTACATGAGAGAAGCCTTCCTGTCCTGGCCATGTCAATGCCACCTTTTGTGACTGTGAAGGAATAGAAATGACTTCATGCCTGTATGGATTGCCTGGGACATAATAGACAAAGGAGAGTAACAATCTGTTCTCTGAAACTTCTCCGCTCTACATAATGAATGGTTACATTAAACTAGAAGGTCTTTGTGTATATTGCCCAGCAAACAGTGCAAAATTGCCTTCATTTTTTCAAAATGCTGCATAGTATTCAAGGGACAATGTACTGATTTTATCCACATGTAATGCATCCCTAATACCTCTATGTGTTTACCTACCAAAAGATGTTTTCTAGGCTCGAACTGTTAACCAGATTGATTTGCTTATCAGTAAAACCACACCTTTGACAAAGATGATCTGGTCGGGAATATTAGCAGCTTTTTAAGCTAGTAGCATAGATTAATGCTAGCCAAAACGTGGACGACTAGTTGTACCGGATCAATGCAACAATATCACACTCTATATGTACACTAGGTAACTGCAGAAAACACATGAAAAATATATATTTGGTTTTTATTTACAGAAAGTTTTAGCAGTATAGAAGGTTTTTTGTGACATTAGATAGTGCTAGCAGCATAGGAGCTTATTTGTATGGCAATATAATAGAGTTCAGATTCTTCTCTGGTGACACATTCATTACATCTTTAAGAAGTTCAAATGTAAACATAGCCAACACATTTTGGGGGTTAAAATGCACACCTCCTTCAGGGGCTTTATATGAATGAATTAGTAGAAGATCAGATCTGTGGTTCTGGATGAGAGCCTCGGGAGAGAGATCTCCTGATGTTTATGTCAATCTCGTGATGTATAAAACTCCTTCATTTAAAGGCACTATTTTTGGGAATCCTCCACAAGTCAAGCTGCCAGAAATCAACTACCATCAAACTCTACCTCACCCACCCACCACAGGCGCTTTGAGTAAGTCAGAATTCCTGATCTACATGCTTTTACTAGGTCAATGATTCAGAATGTATTGATGTCACTAGATCAAAAGGATAGCCAGACATCCATTATTTTTGGGAGGAGAACTCAGCAATGATAGCCTTTATGTTCCTTCAGTACAGGCTTCTTTTAGCAACAGGTGACTATTTAAAATTTGAGGATTCTTCTTTACGAATAATCCCTAGAATCTACTCATGCTAAAATATAATGCAAACAACAAATATAGTACTGCAGTTTGGTGTAAGACATACCTTTAGTTTTCTTTAGAACGATTGCAGGGTGTCCAGATGCTGGTGTCTGCGGGTGGAGTGGAGTAGTGCAGCGCTCAGGTTCATCTGCTGGTCTGAAGCTTGGGAACACATCAAACTTAGATATGTGGGAATGGTATGGATGGTTTGCTGGGAAATCAGCTTGTATTTGTTTCCCACTAAAACATAATATAATAATGTGAAGGGTGAAGAATAATATATCTCTATATGCAGTCATTGATATACTGTATCTAGATGGATCAGTTGATTCCCTGTAATTATTCACTGTAGTAGATTTATTCATTTTCTCGATTATGAGTAAGCTGGCAATAGTATTCCATTAGCAATAAGCTCATCCCTTCTATTTCCAACATCCTTTTTGTAATCACTGACAAGTCCCGATACTTGGGGGTTTGGATACAAACTGACCTAACAGATTTGGCGGATTTAAGCTGGTACATTATTGTGAGAGTTGTGGATAACAGACTTAAGATTTGTGGGAACCTGCCACTAAATGACTGCACTATATTAATTTGCCAATCTTTTTTCATAAATTAGTGTTGGGTGTTACAATTTTTATTTAAAAATACCAACCCCTAGCATAGAGAGGGGCAGTCTTGCTATCCTAACTTACACATTTAGATTTTCTCTGGGAAGCACCATTAGCAACCCTGGCAGCTGATTTTGTAGGGCTTCTGAAACCCATCCCAACAGTAAAAGGGTTTCTGTGGTTCATATGCACTGTTGGTATAATATCAATATAAAATACTGTATAGGCCACTTAATTTTAAACCAATTCTTTTTTGACTCCATTGTGGCTGAATCCTAACCAGCCTGCTTTGATGATGCTAGTTTGTGCACCTCTAAAGAATCAAATATCTCATAGAGTAAAAGACAATGCTTTGTTACATTTGATCTGCTGAAGTTAAGACAGATCATTACAGGTATCTTACAGTGCAGCATGTAGTTTAAATTCATATAGGCCCAGGACTCTCATCTCTTGAAAAATCACTTTGTGATGGTAGAATGGAAAAAGCTGACAAAACCTAGATACCCATATGCAAGAGTTTTCTATTTATCCCCTTTGAAGTTTCCGTTAGAATTGGTCCTCAAGTATTCCTAAATGGAAAGAGGTCAGAGCAATGATCTATAAAGAAATTCACAACACAGCTAATACATTATTTCAGTTTACATTCATACAATGTTTGTACTATACTATGTAGAAATTATGAGCTGTTATCATCATGTTACCAAGTTTTCTGGGACTGCCTGGAGATCCAACATTACTGGACACAAATCAACAGATTTATCACATTTACCTTTAACTTGAAGCCCCATTTGCACCAAATATACACTGAGTGGCCAGATTATTATGACCACCCCATCAGTACTTCGTTGGGCCACGAGATAACTCCACGAGATGACTTCGTTGGGCCGCCTCGTGACTCCACGAGATGTTGAAAGGTGATGCGAGGAATCTGACACTGCACTGTTGCCCTTCTGTTGTCTTGTACCAGTCTTGCCACCCTGCGTTCTGCCCTAACATTGACTAGTCGCTGACGGCCCCAATTCGCACGTTCAGACCCAGATTTTTGGCTGACAGTCCGGTCTTTAAACACTTTAACAACAGCTGTTCTTGAACATTTAACGAATTCTGCTGTTTTGCTGATACTCGCTCCATGGCTCAGAGTGCCAACAATCATCCCACGTTCAAAGGCTGTTAAGTCGCGTTGTTTACCCGTATCTTCAGAAACAAATCACTTCTACTGTCATGGTAAACAACCTGCTTCCCTATTTATAATGGTCTGGCCCTCTAGCAACTTCAGCGTGAAATTATAGCTAATTATAGCTAATTTGCCTACAAATGTCAGGTGGTCATAATAATCTGGCCACCCAGTGTATATTTACTATATGAGATAAACAAAATTCATTCTGGAACACATCCAAAAATCATATTTAGACATATTGGGGGAGATTTATCAAAACGGGAGCAGCCAAAATCTGGAGCAGATTTCCACTGCAACCAATCAGCTTCTCTCTCTAATTTTCAAATCTTACCTGAACAAACTGAAGAGAGACGCTGATTGGTTGCCATGGGCAACTTCTCCAGATTCTGTCTGCTCCAGTTTTGATAAATCCCCCCCATTCTGTTCTACTGCTTGAAATTGATCCTGTAGTATGAAAAGAATAGAAAGCAACTAAGCTGAAAAATAGGCTCATCTAACTAGTAAACAATACATTTCCCAAATATAAATGAGTCCATGCCGGAAGGTCTTGTGTTGCTAGATTGAAAAATAAAACCAATATCCCTGGTTGGCACTGAACAGAAATTTCTTGATGGCCTAAGCATAAGGGACCAATAAGTTCAATATTCTGTAAAGAAAGGGGGAATTGCACTTATATTATCAAATTAGATTTTAGGCAAGGGAGACGGAGTTGTTACAACTTGTGTGCTGCTATTTATATACATATACACACAGACACAAACATCTATAAAAACACATTTTCAGCCTTAAGCAATTTCTGAATCCATATTGATTCAAATTTTGACTAACCTGAGATAAGCAGCAGGAGGCTTTGGATACCTAGAAATATAAATATGTATACTTAGTTATTTTGCTGTGGCGGCAGTATGTAACTCTCTGATATGTTCAGTATATGGTTATTTATCAGTTGCAGTCCCCTTATGTAATTATCACTTTTCGGTCAAAGCGAGCCCATAGATTAATTTTCCAACTGCTTATATGTATCTTTCTTAATCAGAGTTTCTGTCATCAGTGCTGTCTACAGTAATCAATCCAGCATGTGATTTTATTTTCTGCACTGATACAATTACACCTGATTGGCTGCTGTAGGCAACATGTTCAGGTGACACTAAACTCAGGCGTTAAACCTTAAAAATACATTCAAGTACCTTCAAGTGACATTAAAGTCGATTTTTTTCCCCCTCCCTCCAATGTTAATGTCAGGACTTACCGTTAGGCTGGGTTCACACCTGGGCGCTCGAAATATGCGCGTATGGCGCGAGTTTTGGGCCGCACGTTTTTACAGCGATTTGCGTTCAGCAAAACGCGCATCAAACACGCGTTTACGAGAGCTATCCGGCTGTATCCTAATGGATACGCGTGGAAATACACCCCAAAGAAGCTCCTGTACTTGTTTGGGCGTAGGGCGTTTTTCAGCGCGCTACGACGTGCTGAAATACGCCCAGGTGGGAACCATGCCCATAGAAAATAATGGGATTTCACTTGCTGAGCGTTTCTCAGTGCTTCGATCTGCGCTGAAAAACGCCCAGGTGTGAACCCAGCCTAAATTATGTCTCTTAATCCGATCTTCCTCTTCTTTCTTGTCCTTTTCAGCCTTCTCTCCAGCGCTGCCGCGGGTGTCCGATCCAGTGCTGACTCTTCTGTCCTTGCTGGCACTTCCTGTCCTACGGTGTCTGCATGCGGGTGCACGCGTCCATAGACTTACTTTGCGTCTCTCCTTGTCTCGGACGGGGGAGTGCGGCGAAGACAGGGGTAAGTTTAAACCGCTTTTAAAGCGAGTTAAAAAAAAAACAACTTTTTGCATATATCTACTGCTTGCTAGCAGTAGGTAAATGCAAAAAAAATGGAGAGTTTAGAAACCCTTTAACTATTAACAAAAATGTATCTTATTTGTGCATCACTAGGCTGTAGAGCGTCAAATCATCTCTGAATTGGTGCTGACACTGTCCTTCCTTCTGGAGGGTGGCTACTTTTGTTCTACATGGTCCCTGTGTGTGTTGTAGAGTAATCACCACTCCAAGCTCACTCCTGTGATGAACTACTATCTCACATTTAGTTTACTAATTTATATTGAGATTGTAGCGAGCTTGGAGCGGTGACTACTTTACAACACACATGGGGACCATGGGGAACAAAAATAACCACCCTCCAGAAGGAAGGAACGTGTCAGCACCAATTCAGAGATGATTTGAGGATCTACAGCCGAGTGATACACAAATAACATACATTTTAGTTAATAGTTAGGGAACTTGATTGTATTTTTAAGATCCTCCTGAGTTTAGTGTCACTTTCACTTTTGTTAGTATGCATTTTTATCAATGAGGCCAGGTGTACCCTGAGAAACACATTCATTAAAAAAAAATTGTGATGCCAATTTATTAATTGAGATAATTGGGCTGCTATTGCTGACCTGATTGTCCCTGATTGTCTTTGGCTTCCATACTTTGAGTCACTGGCCTGATACAAACACGGAGCAGGCAAATTCAGAGCTCCTGAAAAATATATATTCTCCAGTTCAGCATCTTGCAAGAAACTGAACTCAGTGGATCACCATGAAATCCAGGAAACTAGCATTATAGAGGTAGAGGTTAGCAAAGACGGCTTACACAGTCTCTCAATACACCTATCATTTTGAGAGCAGTAAGTGTTCACATATCCCTACAATAAGGGGTGGCTAAAAATGATTTGATATGTATGCTGCAGTTCATTGGAGTGTGGTTTAACTACTGAGCAATATTGAGGACTTGCAATCAGCAGAGATCCTTATTATCACATATATTTATAATCCAACTCTGTGATCTTTAGCAATTATTAGTAGTAGTAAGGAAATCTTCTTGGATTAATTCCCTCAGCAATCGTACAAATCCAAACTTTCATCCCATTACAGGTTGGATTACTTACCAAGAATTGCTGTCATTAAATTAACTAGACCACCACAAACCGCTTGGGTCTCCCTTCCATCAATTCTTAAAACTCATGAGAGATAAGAACCTCCTATATTGATAATGAAATAAGAGTAGTACCTCCTGCATGCTCTGCAATGAGGCCGTGAATTGATAGGGTTATACCATTATATAATTGATAGGGTTATACCATTTCACTGAGCAGACTGATTGCTAGTGAACATCTTATTGTCCCCAGTTACTATGAACACAGGTTTAAGCAAACCGATTTGCTTATGACAAGTTCATTAGCTTTTCTCTAGAGTAGGGGTCCCCAACCCCCGGGCTGCGGACCGCTATTGATCAGTGGCCTATAACGAACTGGGCTGCAGCCACTGGCAGTCTCCTCGGCCGTCCCGCTCCCCATCAGGAGCTTTCACTTTGTTCATTGCGGCCACGAACATCGATTTTCCAAGTGGTCACAAGGAATTGTGCCAAAAAGGTTGGGGACCGCTGCTCTAGAGAAAGCAGAATGAGCCTTTCACTGCATATGTACTGTAAGATCCAATTAGAAAGTTACTGACAAAATTACTACAGGTTTTAACAAAATTCTGCATAAGTTTCTCTACTGGAGTGGTAGGCAAACTCTGGCCCTCCAGCTGATGTGCAACTACAAATCCCATGAGGCAATAATAAGACTTTGTTTGTTGTAATGTGTTGATTGTTGTAATGTGTTGATTTCATTATATATCTAGATACAGACACAGTGCTATGTATAAACAAGAAAGCAGACATTCATAACATTCCAAGCATGTTGCAACTATTTGCCCAGCTGTAGATTAAATTGCTTGATAACAATGAGTAAAAAGAATGGTCAATAAATAAGAACCATTATCATATGTGTATATTTTAAAAATGTTTTCTAGGAAAAAGGTAAACACTGAGGGTCCAGTCACACCTCGGGCATGGGGCTGCATTGGGCTGTGTTGCTCAAGGCAGGCCCAACACAATAACAAGCTGAAATCTATTGTTCCCAATAATCTCAGGTCACACAGATGAGCTAGGTTGGTGAACGCTAGGTGAACATGGAATATGTCTTGAAAACAGATAAATAAATAGAGAAGCCTCTATTGTCTCAAAGGCATTGTCCTCTTTGTACTTCACATCACAGGGTAACCCTAGCACCGTACGCCACAAAGATATAATAGGTCATGTGTCACCGGGTATGTATTAGCAAAGGTACATGAAACAAAAGGAAACAGGCTCCACTCAAGAATGCATTTACAGTATACCTACCTGATGCACATCTATATGGAACGCCAAATATGAATATGGTACAAAAAAACTGTTTATTAACACTAAAATAAAGTTATCAGATTGGGGTTTTAGCACAGTGGTGAGAGCAGATGGGTGCAGGCATTCTGGTGAAACAGGGGGCTTACAGGTATCTTGTTGAGAGCAGGGGAGTGGGGTGGATTAGGTTGTGTGGGGAGTGGGGTGACGCAGCCGTGGTGGGTGCTAAGGAAAAGGGGCTGCAAGCACAGTGAGTGCTAAGTGAGTGCACAGTGAGTGCTGAAAGAAGGGGGGG